GAGCGTCTCTCATCAACTCTTTCAAGGCTGAGTTTTTCTTAAGAAATCTGTGGCCATCTCGATTCCTGCGTGCTCTTGTTTCAGAATGATTTTTGTGTCCCAGGCGAGGGCACAAAATTCTGTCCCACTCTGGGAGAGAATTTTCAAGGAGGATCGTTCTGATGCCATATGTTTGGATGATCATAACTGTTCTTTTCCTGGCAAAGAGTTCTCAAATGAAAACATTTCATTGAGTTTTTGTAGTGACCATAACCCATAGTGATGTGACACTGTTTTATCGTGGGGGAAGGGGGAGGGGAGAAATTAGGGAACTAGATGTATTTGCAGATGTCACAGTGGTCAGAGCATGCACCCTGAAACCAGGCTACCTCGGCGCAATCCCAGCCCTGCTTTTCGTTAGCTGTGGGATCCTGCACCCACCACTACACCCCCCAAAGCCTCAGTTCCTGTTACTGAGTAATCGGGGCAATAATACTTCTACTACGTGAAATTCCTGCGGTGTTGAGTGAGCGATGTCTGTAATTGCCTAGCCCAGCATCTGGCACCTGTGATAGGCACACAGGGACGTTCAGCTTTAGAATCAAGCAAACACACGTGGCAGCTGCCATGGTGCCCCTTCTGTGAGTGTTCCTTCGGACAGGGAACCTCCCCAGACCTCCCCAGCTAGCAGATGGATACATTGCAAATAACTTGCCCACGGAGTGACAAACAAGACGGAAAAATATAAAGAAAAACTCTCGGATGACGGAGTACATTGGCACCAGGATGTGCCCAGGACGTATATTTTGGAAATCATAGCTCTTCCACTCCAAAGTGTAGGGCCGCCACGTTGCACAACTCCAGGCTCACCACTCACGTCATAGTCCACGCAGATGGCGCCCCCTGGAGTCGTGCAGGACATAAACTGCAGGGCCATTTTCCCTGCCCAGAAGCAGCTGTTGAGGAATAGCAGAGAGTCTGTGCCTCAGCACCTGGCACAGGAAACTGAAGTCACAGAGTCAGGCGTGCCTGCCATACTGTGGTTTCCGTTTGTCATTGCCTTTTTTAGTGTTTTATGGTCTCTGGGAGGGGAGGCATGAAAACCAGCTGTCCTGTTCACAATGGTGTCCTCATAAAGCAGCTGGGTGAGGAAACCTGTGCCATCCAAATGTACAGATCGTGTCTTTCTCAGTCCTGAAATATGGCAAATCTAACGAAGAACGGGTTGGCCCCGCCCCCTTCCCAGTGCATGGCACGGTCCCATCAAGAGTGACTCACGATCAGGCCCTGGGCTGGCCTTGACCCCAGGGCCGGCAGCGCTAAACATGACTGCCCATGTTTGGGCTTCCCTTTAGCCGGCTTCACCCAGTTCCCAGTCCAGCCAGACTCTCCCAAGAGGCTTCTGGACACCGTCCTTTGTCCTTCTTGCAAGTGCATGACTT